CGACTTCCCGCGCTCCCCGCCCTCTCCCTCTTCTGTCCTCCTCCTCCTCTTTTCCCTTCCTATCCCTCTCTCTCTCCCTCTCCCTCCTCCTCCATCTCCTTTCCCTTCTTATCCCTCTCCCCCTCCTCCCCTCTTCTCCCTCCCTCCCCTCTTCTCCCTCCCTCCCATTCTCTCCCTCGCTTTGCCCCGCTCGCTCACCTTGTTTTCTCGATCGATCGACCCGCGCACCATGCGACACGCGATTCTCATGCCTGGGAAACCGGAGGCTCGCGCGCGGCGATCGGTACACTTAGCAAGCGCGGCTGCGCGGGGAGAAGGCGGCGCGAGAGATTGAAGGCGCATGGCGAGAGGGCGCGTCGCGGCGCATGGCCTGCCAAGGAGAACCCTGCTCCCCCTGGAGCCATCGTTCTGCATGGCTGACTGGAGGCCGATACACGATGTGAGGGCCGTTGAGGCGGCCGCCATGCAGCTTATGCAGGCCGGCACATCATGCATCTCTGCGCGCATCCGCATCGGCACATTGCGCACAACCTATCCCGCCTCGGCGTGCGCGGTTGCGACCGCTGATGCTGACGATGTTCTGCGTAACTGGACGGCAGATGGGGTGCATAGGGTAGATGATAATGTATGAGATATCCATGCTATACTAAGTAGACCTCGCTACAATATGAGTAGGCTAACCTTCCTGACATAGCCTAAGATCACCTAAGGTCACCTCAATATACCTCGTAGGTACCGAAAGATCGTAGGTCAACTCAGGCCAGCACAGGTAGTAAGCTGAGGCATCCTCAGGACATGCGAGCACACCTGAGGCGACCTGCCTCGGACCCGAAGTCCTGAGGACACCTGACATTACCTCCTCGGGGACCCCCTTTTCGTGATAGGCTCTCTGAAGAGTGCAGGTAAGGATCCTCACACAAAGTTCCAGCTTCTAACTGTGCTTTCCAAGACAGGGCCTGATCTTGAATAGCCTCATAGCAATCACACCCCAGGAAGTCGAGTATGTCTTCCTTCTTTGCTTTTACCTCACTGACGACTTTTTCTAGACTAGTGGCAGCTCTGAGGCCGTCGACCTCTGCAAGCAGGTGGTACCAGCAGGTGAGTCCATATACAAAGTCGCTAGAACATCCACAATCTCGTAGCTCGGTCCCCAGAAGCCAGCTCATGCGATGTGCACGAAGATCGGGCAAAATGCGTGAGTTTAGCGACTCCCTTCGCCTCACCGCCTCTTTTTCCCACAGAGGGTCGTCTGACTCGTCTTCTGACGCATCCGATGAAGCGGACGGCGAGCGCAGACGTTCTGCCTTGCTCCCGCGGCCAGTGCATGGTGAGCCAGCTGTCGCCCAACGCGACTCTCCACTGACTTCTCCTCCTTGAGACTCGCTCTCTTCGTCGTGCTCTCGCGTGAGACTGCGGATCTCACCCGTTTGGCAGCTCTCCCGGCTCTCGACATCAGGCTTACTCGCGCGAAGGCGCGAGTTCGAAAGCAGATCACCGGGCGCTTTCTGCTGAAGCTGCGGCGCAACAGGCGCCGCCACCGCCGCTTCTTGCTGCTTCGCAGCTCGGTGCTTTTCTCGCGCGAGGAAACCGCGCGTCACCTTTGTTCTCTTTCTCTTTTTATTCGTCTCAGGTGCGAGTTCGTTTGTGGCAACTACAGGACCATACTGACGCATTTTTCTTTGTTTCCTCATCTGCATAGGACTCGTAGGAACACCCAGGCTGGCCGCATCCGCAGTCGAGCCAGCCCCTACACTCACGACGCCGCGATGTGCCACGACTGACGCGCCCCATAACGCGCTAGACGCAACCATAGGCACCGAGTCCAAGCTCGAAGGCGGCGACCGCCCTATAGGAGCGCAGAGAGACTCAGTACGTGTTATACGCATCGAAGCATCTGATAACGCCTTCTGGACAAGACTGACACCTAGTACCCCAGCAGACGCGCCTCTCGACATCGGAAAAGGCTCTCGTGGGTAGGAAGACGCCCGAGGTGCGTCTTCTCTCGCTTTCCCTTTGCTCACAGCGCTCGGGACAGGGTCTTCGCCGTTCGGCGCGCAGGAATTGCTCGCGGGCGCGTCAACACCGAGTGGGCCTGCTGGCGTACTGGGGCGCGCCTGTGAAGCGTACTCCACCGTTGAAGGGCGCTGCCCTTCGCTCGCGCACGCTGCTGAGAACTCGCTTTCCAGGTGAATCAGGGCTTGCCATAATCACATTATGCGCCCGGGACTCTACTGACGATACCTGAGCAGATTGTGCGCTCTTCGGCGTCGCGGGCTCATCCCGCAAGACCGTAGTAATTTGTTTACGCACCGGCGCGTCCGGTACGTCGTCTCTCTCTTCCTCTTTGCTCACATCAATTCTTTCAGCGACTATCCTGTCGTCTTCCGCGCTGGACACGACTTTGGGGGCGTCAAGGCCGAGCACGCTCAAAGACGTGCTCGCTCGCGCTCCAGAAGCACGGCCAGTGATTCCAGCGGCGTGCTGTGACTCGCGACTCACGCCCGACGTCTTGTCTTCGCGTCCCGGAGACGCGGGACGCGCTAGAACAGCTACAGGGTGCGTAGTACTCGAGCAAGGGGACTCGGGATTCGCTAACGCTACCTGGTGTGGTGCTGCATCGCACGACACGGCAGCCGTGTGGTAGGACATGAATGGAGCTCGTGCGACGACGCGCTAGGTCTTGCCGTGCAGGCGGCGCGGTCTCGGACTCAGAAGCCGCGCGCATCTCCGAGAGCGAGCACAGTACGTCTTTATTTCCCTCTTCCTTGCTAACCACGCTTCTTGCAGCTCCTCCTCCGTCTTGCGCGAGCGCAGCGCTCTCAAGCGCGCTCACCAACGTACCCGTCATTACCTCGAAAGCGCGATCAACAAGCAACGGCGCCTTCTGCATCTCGTGCAGCGCGTTCTCCGGCTGGTGCGTTCGCTGTGGCGACTGCAACGATCCCCGGGGTGCTGTCAGGTGCGTAGTACGCGGGTCGCTTGTATTGCGATTTACTGACGCCTCCTGCAGCAGAGATGTGTCGCGAGATGGAGCGTGCACGTTCTGCGCGATACGAAGACCTCGCGCCTCAAGGCAGGCGCCTTGTACGTCTACTTTCGCTGCCTCAACACCGCTGATGACGCCCTCAGGAGATGGTGATTCGCTCGGCGCGTGAAACGCGACCGTGCGGCGTGCGCTGACTGTGGATCTGTTCAGACGGCCAGTAGCCCAGTGCGTCGCTCGGAGCGTAGTTCGAGGAGTGCTCATCGTACTGACAGCGTCTTTTTAATCCAGCAACTTCACCATCGGGCGCAGAGCACCCGCTCGCGCCGCTCCACAGCGTCAACTCTCTTCGCAGCCCATCCTCCCAAGGAGGCGGACGTCGCATTCTAGTACTTCCAGCTCGGTCTGCCCCATCTGAGCTTGTGTGGGCTCGTCGGACGCATTTCGAATTGGCCATTAAAACCCGCGCTTCAGCGGCAGCAGGCTACTGCACTCGACGCCCACGGAAGCCCTTTGACTCCTCATCAATGCCAATAAAGCGCACCTCCTCCACTTGTGAGTCCAGCTTCTTCAGCTTCTCCTTGCGCACCCATGCCTTGCAGCCCCAAACTCGCACCTGCGACATGTTCGGCGGCTTGCCTGTCGCCATCTTGAACGGTGTCTTGCCAGTCGGCAGAGCCTTCATTGACGTGCGTGTGTCCAACAAGCACGCGTGGCGATGCGCCTCCGCCCAGAGCGAGTCTGGCAGACCGGTGCTTTTCAGCATGGCACGCGCCATCTCTATGAGATAGCCGTTGCCGCGCTCTGTGATGCTGTTTGACTGTGGCGAGTTGTGTATGGTCTTGTGGTGAATCCTCCCCTCACGGGCAAGGTACTGTTCAAACCTCGCCTGAGATGAACTCTCCCCCTTGATCCATGCCGAGTACGCGGATATGCCGAACACCGCGATGTAACTTGACGAACACATCATACTCGAGGTGCTTGCCGAAAGCGTCCGACTTTCGCGCAATGTAGTACGGCCGCAACTCCCTCAAGTGGAGGTCGCGGTAGACCTGCGCGTACTTCTTGCCGCCGATGGACGCCAGAAACGGACCCTGCAGGTCGCATATGGCCTTGTCGCCATACACCTTGACGTCCTCGTAGGTGCCGACCTTTGCGAACGACTTTCGCTTCGCCTTCCCCTTGAGGCACCCGACGCAGAACTCCGGTTTCGAGTCCATGTCAAGGTTGATGCCTGTAATGTGTCCGTCCACGACAGATCGCTTCAGCGCATCATGATTCTTGTGGCCCATCTGGTTGTTGCGGAAGTGGGAGGTGATGGAGAGCACGATGTCCGAGTCATCTGCACCTTGGGGAATCATGATCAGCACGACCTCGTTGTCACTGTCATCAACGCCAGAGCTCTTTGCAGTGTTCGCGTGGCCCTTCCCCTTCCCCTTGCCCTTTCCTATGGGCCCCTCGCCTTCCTTCCCGCCACCCTTCGCCCAACAGTTGCGCTTCCAGTGCCCTAACTTGCCGCAGTTGGTGCACTTGTCATCCTTCTTTGACTTCAAAGACGACAAGCTCTTCCCCTTCCCCTTTGACATACGTGTTGCGGCCATCGCATCGCCGCGCTTCTGCTGCTCCTCCATGTCGAACGTGGCTTGTAGCTGCGCAACGACGTCCGACACCTGGAGAGTCGAGAGTCTCGGCTTCTTCTTCCTCTTCTCCATGAGGTTGAGCGCGGACATGGTCTGCTGCTTCTGGGTGATGATGGTCCGGTACGTGTCGGGGATGGACTCCTTCATATGCTCAATGTGCTCCGTCTCGCCCAAGGTCATGCTGAGCTGCTCGAGGCGATCAAACAGGTCCTCTATGGACGCGAGATGCGCGCGAACATTATCGCCTTCAACGCACTTCATGGTGTTGAGCTGCCGGTTGTCACAAGTGCCTGTTACTTGCATGCCAAGTTAACTACACTTCAGTCGCACACTTTGAGAACCTACCATGTCTTGAGACAGTAACCTGTTCAATAGCAGACCTGGTAGCTCAGTTGGATAGAGCATCAGCATTAATAGCGGAAGGCCTCTGGTTCGATTCCAGACCGGGTCACTCTGATCTTTTAACAACAGCCAATCAGAAAGGCTCAAATTCTGATACCGGTAAAGCTGCGTGCGGATGGCAACGTTATGGATGTTCTCGAACTTGCTCACCAGCGCTTCCCACACGTCCTTCACGGTCGCGCACCCCTTGATCTCAGTAAATGTAGTGTTCGACACCGATGTGTAGATGATGTCGCACATCTGGGCTTTGCACTGCTCCCACGTGTCGAGCGCGTCAAGCAACTCTTCACGGGCAGTGTCGCTGAGTGGAGTGGGGGTGGGGGGTAATGGCACTTGCGCTGGCGACGTTGTTGCTGCGGCACCTGCTGCGGCAGGTTCCTCGTCGCTACTATCTGAATTGTCCTCCTCTATACGACTCCAAGTCGGTGCTCTTGAACCACTAGCACTTGTCCTTGTCGTAGACAGGATGCGCCGGTTTCAGCGTGCCGCGCAGATGGTGCGCGAGTCCGGTGATCTTCTTGATCTTCTGAACTGTGACCTCCTTGTAGCGGGGCCAGTTCGTACCGTCATCCTTGCACTTCAGAGGGGTGTCGATCTTGACTGTTTGGATGGACATGTTGGAACTGTCGGGGCTCATAACCTGACAAGAGGTACAAGCGAGGAGATTCTGAGGGACCTATACAAGTCGCGTGTGAGCCTCAGCAATGAAGGTAAAAGCTAGTTCTGTGTGTGCTACTGTACCTATACAAGTCGCGTGTGACTACAGGGACGTTAGTATACTGTACTGTTTCGACCGTAGGTTCACTGGGTGTTACGTGTTACGCTTTGAACTGACCCATATCCCAGTTCACGGGCCCAAAGGGCCCATTACGGTCCGAAATTTCAGTTCATAAATAAATATTTACGCTGCAAAATCCACTATTTTACTGTACTTTTCAGGGCCTGGGAGGTAGTATATAAGATTGAGGGCTCAGAATGCAAATAAATGTATCAAAATGCGTCCCAAAACGGCTTGAACACGAGTAGGAAAAAATCGTGTAAATACACAAAAAATTGAATATCCGAGACGGCGTTCACTGAGCGGTGTTACGCGTTACGCTAAGTGAATTAGTTCAGTTCAGAGGCCAATGTTACGTGTTACGTGGACTTACGGTCGAAACAGTACAGTAGGTGTAAGGTATGCGTAGGAAATATAACTCATGCCTCAGCAATGAAGGTAAAAACTGAGGCACGTTGTCAAGACGATCGAAGTATCTATCAGAGATAAGTCCATAAAGGGAAACCTATGGGCGCATATGTGCGCAGAGATGAATATATTCTAACATATAGTAGGTTCGGATCAAGCCCCTCCAAGCGCGCGCATGTGAGTATACCTTCCTTTTTTGGATGATTTAAAAAGCCTCTGCAAGCTTGCGCAAGGGGGTCCGGCGATCACAAAAAATGACCGCGGGTCGCTTTTCAGCTTAAGGCGGTTACCCCTCCCCCCCTCCCCCTCCACGTGGCCTCCGGCAAGTGCCGGGACGCCGCCGGCTCGATGGTACAGCATGCTTTGGATGCCATAGGGCTTTACAGCTCCTCTAAATATGTTACTAATGACATACCATTGCTTTGTGCAATTTTGGGATGCATGATGGCGATGGCACCAATGTGGCACGAAATAGTTCAACTATACACATGACTGCCCGGAAGGCCGAAGAGCACGTGGTTAAACCTTCGTAGGGCAATGAGACCTGCTCAGACAGATTATATGACTTGTATACAGACTTATCAGGTCGTATGTACTACTCTACATGCTACATAGGGTGGCAGAGGCTTTAGGAGGGTCAGGTCACAGTGGGGTCGACTTTCAGCTTTTGCCGGCCTCGGACCCTCCCTCCCCACCCCCGGTGCGCTATTTTTAGTTCTGGACCCCTTGAACTTGCGAGTAGAGGGGCTTGTGACAAAGTTCACAAAACAGACACTTTGCTCTGACTGCCATGAACATTGCTCGAAGGTGTCTCTTGCCCCCAAACTCGCTGTATCACTTTTTGAGATGCACATCTATGCAGCTGCCTAGTTTTATCAGTCTCAGGTACTCTAGTAGTCTGGTAGCAAACGCACCCCCGATATCGGCTGCGCGGGTAATGCTACATGTGATGCTTCCCACAATTTTGCGCATAGACCGGAAAAGTACCGTGACCTGTCAGACACGTCTCCAATATCGCACACGACGCATCTGTCGACGCGTCTGGGCGCGCCATGTCTTTCCAATTCGTATCTGAGCAATGCAGAGTACTACCTGATATATGCTTGTCATGAAAATACCAGAATTCCAGGAACCACATGATCACCAACTAGTAGTAGTAGGACCCCCGTGACGCGCTCTCCGAGTCTCCGTGACCTAGAGGTGGTCGAACCCTGCAGTGTTTGACGACGTTGAGCCCCCAGCATGCAAGACGATGGTCAATAATCAAAATGAGAGTGCGCGAGACGGTAGTCGACGTGGCCAAGGCAGAACCTTCAATGGCGAAGAACGAGCAGGTGTCGATAACAGTAACACTGAGTTTGATTATGTAACCTGTAAGCCGCGCCGCACTTCGACTGCAGAATGCGCTGTCAGGAGAGATATGAGTTTGATATAGAGGCTCGATTGTGCTGAGGAATTTCTCAACGTGCTGCACGCACCGGTCACCTGACAATCATGTGACCAGTGTTTGACTTCGGCAACCACCCAAGGGGGTATGAGGCTAAAAATAGCGGACCGGGGGTGGGGAGGGAGGGGGGGTCCGAGGCCGACAAAAGTTGAAAGTCGACCCCATTGTACCCAGACCGTTTTGTGTTGGACTTTCGGCATGTCACGTGTCGTGCACATGGCAGACACATGGTGGACACTCATGGACACTCATGACTCATTACGTATTACATCATGGACATTCGCATTACTCAGCTTACCTATGATGTCAGGCCCTCTGGGCAGTATATAAGGAGGGCGCATCCACCCCCTCAATCCAAGTCTTCCACTTGACTTACCTGCGCATAGCCTTCAGCTAAGCTCTCTACTAAGGTAGGCTAGGCAGGCGCGCTTCCCCGCATGCTCAACATTTTGGACCTCAGCTATCTTACATAGCATGTAAGGTGGTACACAGGCCCCCACAAGCCAGTATCAAGCTACTTATCCTGTCTGACAAGGGTTCCTTACCTCAACGGAGGTCAACTGAGTTGTGCACGTGCTCCTCGGCCTTCCGAGCAGTCACGTGAGTGGCTGAAGCGCGTTGCGCCAGAATGCTGGCACTGCAGTGTTGCATTACAGGAGTGCATACAGAGCTCTTGAAGCTGTAATACACGTATATACAGCGGTTAGATGGCTTCATAGCATTTAGAGCAGGCGGTACCACCCGTCTAGCGGCGGCCGGAACTTGCCGGACATCACGTGAAGGGGGGAGGGGGGGAGGGGTAACGGCCTTAAGTCGAAAGTCGACCCGCGGTCATTTCCTGCGATCCCGGGACCCCCTTGCAACCACCCATTCAAGGGACGCCGTGTTCACATACGTAGACTTTCGGCACCTTGTCAGCCCTAATTTCTCATGCTTTGTCATCTACTTACCAATCTTTGAACAGCCACGCTCGCTACTGTATTTACTTACTTATGTGCTCGTTTCATACTGCCTCGTAGTACTGCCCTTACATTACTGTATATAGCTGGCTGTGCGGCAAAGGAGTACACTTACCAAGGGTGTTTCGAGTCCAGGGTATAAATACCCTCACTCGTAGGTGCAAAGGCAAGCAAACAGCCACCGAAGAGCGAGTTTACGCACAACTCTCTCCCCAGCCTTGCACACACCTCTGTTACGCCTACTGCCAGAGCTACTCAGCGTACTGTACCTATACAGAATGTTGATATCCCCTACTGCAGTTTGAAGTTTAAGAGAGACACGCTGCGCTTGCCCGAACAACGAGTTCCGGGTTACGATTGACAAGTAAACTCGCCGTGAGCATTCTCAGGACATCGGGCACTATGGCTCGCAGTGATCCTAGCTCTACTCAGGCAGTCCCTCGACGTCTTTAAGCGCCACCTCTGCTCTTTGAAGAACCTCTCACCCAGTACTAAGCTCCACGCGTCGCTCGCGTACCCTCTCGCCTATCAAGAACCATCTCATTTGCCTCGTATCAACGCCCTCCCTCACGCGTACTTCTCAGTCCACGTGAGCGTACACCCCCTCTTCAAGACCGATATCACCGACATCGGAGACAACCAGGCCCAGGCTACTCGTGACTACACTCATCAATACCTCCCAAACTACTCAAGGAGATTCTTTTTATCTTATAGGAACTTCTCTAGGCTAAACTACAAACCACATTTAGCCTGACAGCGCCCGCACCCTGTGGGAGCCGCGGCGTTGCAGGTGCTCTTGGGTTGTTGATTGAGGGCATGAAGAGTATATATGTCGCTTGGTGCGACATATACGACTGGATGTTGCGAACGGATGGGAGACACGACGAGGCCCGCCGCCCGGGGGCCGCGGCCACGAGCCAGAGACTTCTGTATAGCTTGTTGTTCTCAAGTGGTGCACGTTGCATCAAAACTTGAGTGCATATACAGGGTCTATTGGTGGCGGAGAGACGAGGATGGCCCAAGGCAGCGCAAGGCGCACCCTGACGCGTCAACAGACACGTTGTGTGCTAGATTGGAGACGTGTCTGACAGGTCACAGTACTTTTCCGGTCTATGCGCAAAATCGTGGGAAGCATCACGTGTAGCATTACCCGCGCAGCCGATATTGGGGGCGCATTTGCTAGCAGACGTCTGATTACTCGATCGGACTCTGCCTTGGGAGACTAGTACTCTAGTAGTCTGATAGCAAACGTGCCCCCAATATCGGCTGCGCGGGTAATGCTACACGTGATGCTTCCCACGATTTTGCGCATAGACCGGAAAAGTACCGTGACCTGTCAGACATGTCTCCAATCTAGCACACAACGTGTCTGTTGACGCGTCAGGGTGCGCCTTGCGCTGCCTTGGGCCATCCTCGTCTCTCCGCCACCAATAGACCCTGTATATGCACTCAAGGCT